CCCCACTCCCCTTCCAGGGTCCTCGTTGACTAACCCGCGGGTCGGGTCAAATACCTTTTGGTAACGACTCTCAATATGAATGGTCCTGATTGTCCATTTGAATGACACATATTGACATCATGGATCAAGAAATAAAAACCAGTAATATGCTATAGCAAGAAACATACTTAATCCTAAAAGAAATTCATATTAGACTAACTGATGGAAAACGCTATTCTGTCCAAGGGAAAGCAAGGAAATAGCTTCTTTATTTTCAGACAAAGTGAACTTTAAGTCAAAACTGATTAAAAAAAAAAGGGGCAAGGAAAGGCATTACATATTCATTAAGGGAACAATTCAGCAGGGAGAGAGAATTTAAAACATACAAGCACCAAATAACAAAGCACTCAACTTCAGGAACCAAACATTAATAGACAAAAATAGATGAACATTAATATAATTATGAGAAATTGCAATATCTCACTATCAAATACATCAATTGACCAAAAAAAAAGAAGCATCAGGATTTAATAAACCCTTTGAACAAATTGACTTGTGTTCCACCCAAAGCCAGAGCACATATTCTCAGCAGCTCATTCCTCTCCAGAATACACCACACACTAGCCAATAAAGCATCCATAAATGCAAAAGAGTTAAAACTATACCATGCATATTACCGTATCACAGTGCAATGAAACTAGAACTAAATGGCAAAGTAAAATTATGCAAATCCATGGAAATTAAATAATACACTCTTGAATAATCCATGGGTCACAGAAGAAATGAAGAAAAAATACAGTTCCTACAATTAAATTATACTGACAGTGTAACATATCAGAACTTATAGGGCATATTGAGAGTAGTCTTAAGAGGAAAGTTTATAGCTGTGAAGCCCACACCACAAAAACAGATCAGATCCAAGTAAATAACCTAATGATGCACCTCAGTCCCAGAAAAAAAGGAACAATACAAATCCAAAGTTAATACAAAGAAGAAAATTACAAAGATCAGCACAGAAATCAACAAAATGAGAACCAAAAACAATATAAAGAATCAGTAAGTTGAAGAGCTGGCTCTTCAAAAGAAAACACAAAATGGACAAACTTTTTGCCCTGTTTACCAAAAAAAGGAAAGAAAAGACCCAAACAGGCAATGAGAAATTAAAAAGGTGAAGTCACAACAGATATTGCCAAAATTCAGAAAATTACTATTTTTGCAAAGGTGTACAAATTGGACAATTCAGAAAAAACAAGTAGATTCCTACATACGTATGAATTGCCAAAACTGAATTAAGAATTACCCCTAAATAATCCATTAACATGTAATGAAATTAAATAAGCAACACAAATCCTACTAAGAAACAACCAAGTCCTCACTGTCATATTGAAAAGAACTTCAGAAAAACCTATCACCAATACTCCTCAAACTCTTTGATAAAACAGAAAAAAGAAAGAGTATGCCCAATGTCATTTTCTGGAAACTAGCTTTGTCCTGATTCCAAAACCAGAAATCCAACAAAGAGAACTGCAGGCCAATTTCTTTAATGAACACAGGCACAAAATATTTCAACAAGACACTGGTAAACAGATCACAACAGATCATCAAAAGATCATACACTATGACCAAGTAGGCTTCATCCCTAGGATGAAAGGATAGTTCAACATCTGCTGATCAATAAATATACTATATCACATAAGCAAAACCAAGAACCAAAATCACATGATCATCTCAATAGACGCAGCAGAACAGGCTTTTGAAAAGACCCAGTATCAATTAATAACACAAGCCCTGAAGGAAGTTGGCAAAAAAAGAATCTTATCTCAATCTGATAAAAGCCATTTATTAACAATGTAGAGCCAACATAACATTAAGGGGAAAATCTGAAAGCTTTCCCTCAAGAATAAGAGAACAGGGGCTGGTGAGATGGCTCAGTGGTCTAAAGCTCCTACTTAGAACAAGCTTAGCAAAGCACAGGGACCACGGTTCCATCCCCCAGCACCACATGCCACCCAGCCCCGCCCCCTGGTGGGCTGAGCTGGCCACACACACACACACACATAAATAAATAAAATAAAATAAAATAAAGAATAAGAGAACAGCGCCCACTGTCACCACTCCTTTTCTACACAGGCCTATAAACATTAGCCAAAAAAAAGCAATTAGGCAAAAAAAAGAAAAATATGTTGGAATAAGTCTAACTATCATTTGCAGATGACATGATTCTCTACAAAGATGCAAAAAAATCCACCAAAAGACTTTCAGAATTAATAACCAAGTTCAGCAATGTATCAAAACACAAAAATCCATAGTGTTTCTCTATAATTTGCTCACCAAGAAAAAAAATAGGAACAATATTCTCAATAGCATCAAGAAAAGTTCAAAATAAGGATTAGCCTAACCAAGGAAGTAAAAGACCTCTACAACAAAAACTACAGTACTCTGAAAAAGAAGCTCAAAGAAGGCATCAGGAAATGGAAAGATATCCTGTTCTCAGATAGGCAGAACCAATACAGTAAAACTGGCCACAATGCCACATCTTATAGATTTAACATAATGTCAAGCAAAGTATCAAAAGTACTCCTCACAGTTCTAGAAAAACCACCCTCGCGGCCAGGAGTTAACTCAGTAGAATAAGTGCTTGTCTGGCAAGAGCAAGGGCCTGAGTTCAATCCCTGGTTCC